ATTATTATTATTATTATTATTTTCAGTTCTGAAGTTTGAACTCAGGGTCTACACCTTGAGCCACTCCACCAGCCCTTTTTTGTGAAGGTTTTTTTTCAGGTAGTATCTCAGGAACTATTTGCTGAGGCTGTCTTGGAACTGCGATCCTCCTGATCTCTGCTCTCTGAGTAACTAGGATTTCAGGTGTGAGCCACTGGAGCCCAGCTTTCACTGGGAAATTTAAAGAACTGAATATTCAGTCCCAGAACAGAGTGTATTTCTGTATCTAGTTCAGGCAAAGAGAGCAGCGCCAGGGTATTGTATATAAATTCTCTATCTTTTTTGAGGTAAATTTTGCTTTTCAAGTTAAAAATGTAATAAATGCTCATTGTAAACAATTTGGAAAATACAGGGAGAGAAGTAGAAAGTAAAAAGAATCCACCTGCAATGCCATCTGAATGCATTTCTCTTACTTCTTTTTTCCATGCACATTTAAATGCTTGTGATACTATTGTGTGCTTGTGATCATATTGTACATGTTTCTGAACTTGTGGCAAAAGTATATTCCAGTGTGTGGAAGCTGTGAGCCCTGGGGGAGCTGGGAAAGAGAAGAGGAAAACCCAGGAGAGAACTAAAGAGCTTCTAGTCAGGATTCCTCAGGTACCAGTCTCCAGAGCCTCCCTTAGTATGAGGCCCAGGGCTGGTCCAGCCTCGCAAGCCCTGGCCCTCCGGGGATCCCCCAGTACATCCACCTCAGTGACTTGATGGCTCATCTCGCTGATAGGACAACAGGAACTGACTTTCCCTCCTTTTTAGGTTTCTCTGAGTAGCATGGATTAAGGGAGGGTACAGGAGTATGGAGAAAGCTGCTCAAGTCAAACCGGGTTTCAGGGGACAGAACAAAGGAGTGACAACTTCATATTACACACAGCTCTCCTGCAGACTTAACAAGCCTGAGAGTTTTAGCTTCCTCATTTCCTAGGAAGACATGTCAAGGGAGAAGGAAAGGACTCAAGGAACCTCATGTGCCAGGGTATCTGCCTGCCCTGCCCTGCATAACTCAGCCAAGGGTCCTGCTCTTCAGAACAGTTCCTGAGGGAGGGAAGGTGAGAAGGGACTCACCTCTATGGGATCTCTTCTGTGCCAGCAATTTACACACATTTTCTCACATCATCCTAACAGTAATCCTACACTGTTCTCTCATTTCAAAGCTAATAAGACTACAGCCCAGAGGATAAGAGAGTTCTTAAAGTCACACAGTATGTATCTGGTGAAGTCAGTATTCCATCCTAGGTCTTAGTCTAAATCTTTTGATCCATGTATTGTTCGATCCTGCTTCTTTGGAACACTCTGCACACACTCTGTCCCTTTGTCCCGGCAGAACCCCAAACCCAGTTCAGAAGAGATCTCCATGATTGCAGAGCAGTTGTCCATGGAGAAGGAGGTAGTGAGGGTCTGGTTCTGCAACCGACGCCAAAAAGAGAAGCGAATCAACTGCCCTGTGGCCACACCCATCAAGTCACCCATCTACAACTCCCGGCTGGTGAGTGGCCAGGAGCCAAACTGCCTGCTGGGCACTGGGGAGACATGATTCCTGGGGGGCAGAGTCTCCTCTTCCTTGAGAGTGGTAGTCAGGGGAGAGGGGCAGACACACATATAGATAAGCAAATAGATGTTGTACATAAAATATATATACTATAAGGAAGACTAAAGAAGGGTAAGGGACCAGTATGGCAGTACACATCTGTAATCCCAGCACTTGGGAGTTAGAGGCAAGAGGATTGTGTGTTTGATAAAGGCCACCCTTGGCTACATAGTAAGAACCTGGCTTCCAAACAAAAAGAGCAAGAAATAGGGGGAGGAAGAAGAAAAGAAGAAAAAGAGATGGTGTAAGGGGAAAGAAAATGAGAGTGGGGAGAATGCTTTTCATTTATATTTTATCTTATTTTATTTTTGGCAGTACTGGGGTTTGAACTTAGGGCCTTGGACTTGCTTAGTAAGCACTCTACCACTTGAGCCATGCCCCCGGCTCAGGAATGTTTTTTTAATAGGAAGGTCAGAGAGCACCTCTCTGATTAGGTGGAATTTGAGCAGAGATCTAAAAGTCGTAAGAATAGTAAAAATAAAGAAAAAAAAGTCATAAGAAAGGACCTGTCATACTAGCTACTCAGGAGGCAGAGATCAGGAAGGTCTCAGTTCGAGGCCAGCTCCAGGGCAAATAGTTCTGGAGACCCTATATCAAAATACCCCACACAAAAAAGGGAAGTGGCTTAAGTTGTAGAGCACCTGCCTAGCAAGCATGAAGCCCTGAGTTCAAATCCCAGTCCCACCAAAAAGCAAGCCAAACAATCCAAACAAACCCAGTACCACCAAAAAAAAGGGGAAAAAAATCATAATAATGAAATATGTGCATATCTGGTGGAAAGAGTGTTTCAGGCAGAGGGACCAGCAAGTGAAAAAACCCAGTATGTTTGAGGAACAGCAAGGAAACCCTGCATGGCAGGGGCAAGAAGTAGATGAAGTCAGAGAAGTTAAAGGGAGTAGTCTCTCCAAGGTTTTGGAGTCCATCAAGAGGACCTGGAAGTTTAGTTTGACTAAAATGAGAAGCTGCTGGAGAGCTCTAGACATAGAAGTCTAAGCTGAATGACATGAGCAGCTGTGATAATTCAAATAGAAGCAGGAGGACAGCTAGGAGAATTACAGTCATCAGGCTGAGAGTGGGCTAGGATGGTAACCATGGTAATGAGAGTGAGATGTAGTTGGGTTCTGGATATACTTCAACTGTGGAGTCAGTCAATAGGATGTGCTGATGGCTCGGCTATGGAATAAGAGGAATGAAGCAAAGAGGACTTCACATGTGTTAGAAACAGAGCAACTGGCTAGAAGGCACTGCTGCTTTTTTTGAGATAATGAAGATTATAGAAGAGGAGGCTTGGGTGACAAAGAAACTGAAGGATGTGGTGCTGGCCATATAAAGATGGGCATGCCTACTAGGCGTCCAAGAGGAAGTGTCAAGTAGGGGTAAAGTCTGTAACTCTGGTGTACAAGGGAGATGCCAGAGCTAGGAATAATTTGGAATTCTAGGCAGACATGGAGGTTTGGGAGTAGAAAGTATCTTCTTCCAGGGAGAGATGGGACCTGGAGGGTGGGGGTGGAATGTTCTTCCTCTTTGGGAAGGGGATGGTTGAAGGCATGCCTTCCAGTCACCCAGCATTCTAGAATTGTTGAAATCCAGCCTTGTAAGGGTGAGACATAGTGGTTTTATAAAAAGTACACCACTGTTGATTTTCACCAAACATCTATTGACCATTCTACTCTATATTGTTTTTGTGCCAAGTGCTGGGGATACAAAAATAAATACCAGTGTTTCCTGTTCCAGAGGACCTCGCTGCCTAGCAGAAGAGACAGACAAATAAATAAATGATAAACAATATGATTAATTCTCTAGGAGAACTTAGGAGCATAGCTAACACACCCAGGGAGGTAGGGGTTAGGAAGCCTTCCCTAAGGAGATCATTAATAACTGAGCTAAGCCTACAAGGACAAGGAGCGAGAGGCAAATAAGAGTGAGGTGGAACTCTCACCAGGGGCAAGTGTGAGAACTGTGCATGGAGCAGGGAAAATAGGTGGCATATCATGGAACTTCAGGGGCTTCTGCGTGGAAGAATGACGAAAGATGAGGCTGGACCGATGAGCCAGGGGAAGAAAGGAGGGTGTGTGGTGCCAAGGAAGTGAAGGCTCATGGGAATTATCAAAGGACTTTGGTCAGGGCATTGGTGTGATCAGATTTGCTTTTTTAGAGTGATTGCTCTAGCCTCAGGATAAAGGGCGGCTTGAGAGGTACAAGATTGTTTGCATTACTTTTCTATAGTTATTAAGTTGAGAAATAATGAGGAAGAAACAAAGCCACATGGTAAGAAAGATGGAATGGGAAAATTCAAGAGATAACTAGAAGGTCTTGGTTAATAAACTCAAAGCTGGCTGGGGACAGGGAGAGCAATGGAAGGAAGGTGACTGAGCATATGGTCTGGGCTGATAGCACCATGTATGGAATGAGCAAATGGGAGGAATTGGTATTATTAAGTTCTTCCTTTTTCTTTTCTTTTCTTCTTTTTTTGGAGGGGGCAGTACTAGTAATTAAACTCAAGGCCTCACGCTTGCTAGGCAAGCACTCTTAACACTAGAACCAGTCCTTTTGTTTTTAGTTTGTTTTTCAGATAGGGTCTCACACTTTTCCTGAGACAAAAGCTTGCTCAGATTGTAATCCTCCCATCTGCCTCCTAAGTAGCTGGGATTACAGATCTGTAATACCATTCCCAGCTTGTTTTTGAGAGAAAGTCTCACTAACTTTGTCTTGACCAACCTGGAAATGCAACACTCCTATCTCTGCCTCCCAAGTGACTGGAATTATAAGTATGCAGCTCCACACTGGGCTAATGCTGCAGAGTTTTTTGTTTTGTGGTCCTGGGGTTTGAACTCAGGGCTTTGTTCTTGCTAGGTAGGCACTCTACCACCTGAGCTACATCTCTAGCCCTATGATTTCAATTCTTTATACCATGATGATATGCAGTGAGGCTTGTGGGACAAAGTAGGAATGGCCCTAGGCACTTGGCATGATAGGTCTGGAGGTTAGAAGAGAAGCTGGATGGAGACATGGATTGGGGAGTCACAGCCTACAGGCACTGATGGAAATCCTGGATGAGGAGAAGCTCAGCTGCTGAGTTTGTGCGAAGGAAAGTCTGTATCTAAACCCTGGGGACACCAGTACATAAAAGGAAGAGGATCAAGGGAAGAAACTGAGAAGGCAGAGCTGGGAAAGGCAAGAAACTGCAACCAAGTAGATGTGAGAGGCGTTGGACAGACAAGATCCTTGTAGGAGTGTTAAGGGAACAGATGAAAGACACTCAAATCTGGGGTCCAGGAGAGCAGAGTCCCTAATTCGTTTGAAGAATAGACTAGGAATTAGTAAGAGTAGCACAGCAGGCAGAAAGAACAGCCTGTGAGAAGGCGTACGATTACAAAACCAGTTGCCTGCGGGGAATCCCACGCAGTTCAGTCTGGCTGGAGCCAAGGGTTTGGGATTAAAAATTAGAGAGGCTGATGACAGCTGGGTCATGATGGGCCTCAGGTGCTACATTACCCTAAAAGCTATGAGGAGACTTTGGACATTTTAAGTTGGAGGCAACACAATAGACATTCATTGTTGCTTCTGTAAATATTCACTGTGTGTTTGGTACTGGGTTACAGGGGTATGTGACACTCATGTGACCTCTTCTTGCAGTCTAGCAGGGAAAACAGACTGAATAAAGTGATTTGTGATGAGCTTCAGAGAAGATGCGTGGATATTCAAGGGACCTAGCATAGTCCAAGTTGTCAAAGGCTTCCCTGAGAAATATTGAAACTGAGCCCAGAAAAATGGATGTCACCAGTGACATGAATGGGGACAATAAGTTGAAGAGGGGGCAGGCAGGAGCAAGTGTAGGGAAGAACATTCTAGGCACAGGAAACAGTGTGTGCAAAGACTGTGAGGCTGGTGGAGGTGGGAAGAGGCTGGGGTGGGGTGGAAGTCAGGTGTGACGGTGTGAGTGAAGAGGCTGCAGTGGTAGGGTGCTGTAAGCCACGTTAAGGAATTTGGTCCTTGCCAAAAGAGCTTCGGAATCTTTAAAGATGGGGCTTTGGTTAGGTAGGGGGCAGGCTCTCACACTGGTTCACTTGCCACACAGGACAGCAGCATGGGGAAAGATGGCAAAGGAGACTCATTCATTATCACCGTTCCTTCAGCAACCATGTCCTGAGTACCTGCAAAGTCCCAGGCATGATGGAATAGAGCAGAGAATGTATAGGTGGCATCCTGCCTCACAAAGGCTGCAGCCTAGAGGGGGAGAAAGGCATGAAATAAATAGGTGCACTACTACTTGGGATGTCATAAAGGAAGGGAATGGAAAGCATTTTCTGATCCTGTCTTTTCCTTAGGTCCCAACAGGATGAGGACTGGTGTCTTCTGTTTCTGCTATGAAACAAACTCTCAGATATCTAGTTAATTTACAACAATAACAAAGGCAAAATGGTGTCGACAAGTGTGGGTGCCATTTTGCTACCATATATACCAAAAATAAAAAACAGGGAACAGATATATGGTGTTTGCATATGCACAGCCTGTCCTCAGAAGGAAACAGAAAGAGCTGGTCACAGTGACTACATACATTATTATTTATTTGAAAACAACAACAAATTTCTTGGGTGTGGCAGCAGGCAAGGGAGGGGAGGAGGAAAGGAAATGATTGATAATATCTCTCTCCACTCTGCTACCCTCCCAAACTGCGCCCCACACCCATCTCCACCCTTCACGGGGGCCCCCAGCTTACTGAGGAGGCTCATTGTAAAAGAAGCGAGAACCATTACTGATTAATTAGAGAACGAGAGCATGCTCTGGCCTGTTAGGAGGGGATGTTCCAAATGGAAGACAGGAGGAGTATCAGATCACAGGTCCTCGAGCACCAAACGCCGTTCAGAGCTTCCCGTGTTGGCAGGAGAAGAATAAGGGAGTGAAAGTATACAGATTTCAGCTCAAAAGAAAGAAGTAAAAAGCATATAGAGATAGCTAGACCAAAATCCATGACTTTTTCCTTCTGGGAAGGAGAGAACTAGTATTTAATAAGCCTGAGTTCTTTGCTAGCCATTGGATTGGAAGTTTTATGGACATCTAGTTAGATCTTAATTTAAAAAAAATATCAGGGAGGTCTTGCTGCTGTTTTACAGATGAGAAAACCAAATTTCCATGGGGTTGGTTAACTTGCCCAAAGTCATGTAGACCGTGAATGATGGGGCTCTCACATCCAGATCTGTCTGCTTTTTTTTTTCTTTTTTTTTTAATTACATCTTGTTCTAGGCTGTTTTAGGATAGAAATAGTGAGGGGGAGGCTCCTGAACAGCATGGGAAGTTAAAGTCAATTATCTTCCGTCTCTTTCGAGTCTCAGAGTTGATGATGCTATGAGTCTCCAAGGAAAAAGCAAAAAGCTCCAGAGATCATTGTTCAGGTCTCTGGAAAGTCCATGGTCCATCCACCAGGGTGGGAAGGCAAAGTTTCTAGGGCTGGCACTCTGCTGCCCTGAGAACAACTGGGTTCTTTCAGGAAGAGAAAAATGGCTGAAAATGAGGCATTTTGAGCAGAGCTTCAAAATCTTGCTCCTTTCTTCACCAGGGTACTTGGACAAGGCAGCCTAACGCCTAGAAGTGCCAATGAAACCTTGCCAGGGGCCCTGCAGGGAGGGGAGGGCCTGGTATCTGTACTAGGGAACTTCCGGGGCAGACCGGAAGTAGAGCTGTATGACTGTATGTGATGCAGAGGCCTTCCCGTGAAACAGAGGATGGAATGAAATTTAGGGGAGGAGGAAGTGATCAAGGAAGCCAAGCCCCCATCTCTGCAGTCTGGGGCCCAGCATCTTGGAAGAAGGACCTGAGGTTGGAGGAGGGAGCGGGAATGGACGTTTACAAGTATCTCTTACCTTTCAGGTCTCTCCCTCAGGGTCTCTGGGCCCCCTCTCTGTCCCTCCTGTCCACAGCACCATGCCCGGAGCAGGTGAGTTTTAAAATGAAGATTCTGGAAGTGGTGGCATGGCTCAAGTGGTGGAGCGCCTGCCTAGCAAGTACAAGGCCCTGATTTCAAACCCCAGAACAATCAAAAAAAAACCCAACTAGATAAAAATAAATAAAATGAAGTTTCTAGATAGCACCAGAATTCCCTTAAATGATGGATTTTGGAACTAAAATGGACCTACCTAAGTCTGCATGTCCTCACTGTATTTTAAAGGCATTAAAGTCTGTGCTGGGGCCCAGCACTGATGGCTACTCAGAAGGCAGAAAGCAAGAGGATCTCAGTTCGAAAGCCAGATTGGGGGAAAAAAAATTCGCAAGACCCTATCTTGAAAATACTCACACACACACACACACACACACACACACACACAAAAGGGCTGGTGGACTTGCTCAAGTGGTAGAGCGCCTAGCAAGTGTGAGGCCCTGAGTTCAAACCCCAGTATCATGCAAAAAAAAAAAAAAAAATCTATGCTGGAAAAACAGGGTTCCATGATCAAGTAAGTTTAGGAAATGCTGGATCAGCAAAATTTAAACATATGTGTATTTGGTTTTTGTTTTGCTTTAATTGCAGCACTCCTCAGCACTCAAGGATGTAATAGGTTCCAAAAGGCTAAGGGAAGGCGGAGTTTTTCAAACTAATTTCTGCAGGACTCTATTTTTCAAAAAGTACCTGTAGCATTTGAAAGAACAAAATAAGGTAACCATATGCTCAGCTGTGCCCAGGGCAGCTTCAGCGGCTGCCTCATGTGCTGATGTAATTGTCAGTATGCTCTCTGACATTTTTAAAAGCACCATAGTTTGGAAGATAAAATATATGTCACCCTATCCATGGAACACGGTTCAGAAATTCAAACATGAACATTCTAATTAGTCCAAACCTGCCATTTTACAGAGGATGAAAATGAGTGTTGGGGAAGAGAAGCAAGCCAACACAGGCTACAATGGCTAGGGACCAAGATGAGACTTGGTCCCCTCACTCCTGATCAGCGTTCTCTTAGGGAGAAAACATGACTTCCCATTGTGGTCAGAGAACTAGAGAGGCTGGCAATCTTTAACGATGCTCTTGGTTCTCTTTCTCCCTCTGCATTTTTCTTTCTTTCCTCTTCCTTTCCTAAGCTTTGTATTTTTGCTCTTCTCCTGCCTCTTGGTCTGGGGCTACAAAGGCCCAGCCCAGGGTGTGTCCTGGAGTAGGATGATTTTGGCATCTGTCCTTGCCTTTGGCAAGTCTTGGACTTGCAGAACCAGCCACACTGCTCCCAAGGGCCTGGGCTGCAGAGTGTTTGCCATGAGATCCCTGCTGGGGATGGGCTGGCGGGTGGACGTTGATGCTAATGCGGGTACGAGGTGGGCAGATGGGTGGAAGGGGGCAGGGAGAGGGTGAACTCCCTTTGGGGTTACACCAGGAAATCAAGTGTTGGAAGGACCATGTCACGAGGTCCCTGGACCCAGCAGCATTATTTTTCCTCTTGTTTTTGCCTTTCCTTGTCCTCAGTAACGTCATCCTGTTCCCCTGGGAACAACAGCAGGCCTTCGTCTCCTGGCTCAGGACTCCAGGCCAGCAGTCCCACTGCATCTCAAAATAACTCCAAAGTAGCGATGAACTCTTCCAGCTTTAACTCCTCAGGGTAAGGTGGAGGGGCATGCAGAGGCATCCAGCAGGCCCCTGGCCTGTGAGGACTTGGGCCAGTGCCTTGGGACAGAGAGTTTGTCATAAGGCTGGAAAAGGGGACTGGGTGGCAGGGAGAGAATAGAGTAGAGAGCCAGACTAGACTGTATCCCTAGGGAGTGGGGATTCAGAAAAGAAGCTGCAGCTAGTGAGAGGTCCTGGCAAGTAGCTGATGTCAACAAAGCTAAAATTTCCATCCTCACTTCGACAGTGGAAATTTCCAATGCTCCTATCAGAAAAGACCAGGTCCTTTGCTGGGCTTCAGAATGCTTCACTCCATGCCAGGAACCCGCTTCTCAGGATGTTCTGACTTGAGCTGAGAGCTTAGCACAAACAACCCCTTGGGCTTCAGGTGTGGCTGACATAGGAAAACAGAGAAGAGGTGACTTCTCCCACCCCACGTGGGGTGCAATGGGGGAAGGTAGCCTCCTGGGGCCTTAGTTCTCCACCCAAAGAAGCTACTCTAAAAGTGTTCTCAGAGTGGATGCCATAAGAGTCTGCCCTGATTCAGACAAGAGAGAGAGTTGAAAATTGGATGATAGCCAGGCCTGGTGGTGTGCACACCTGTAATCCTAACTCAGGAGGCTGAGACAGGAGGATCTGGAGTTCAAGGCTAGCCTGGGCTACTTAAGGAGACCTTGTCACAAACAAAAACAAAAAACAAACAAAAAAGTTGGGCAATACATTATGCACTTGATTCCACTTGTCCAAATCCAGGCAGTTCAGCAAGGCAGCCAGCTTTTACTGGTCAATTTTTGCATACACCAGAAAGTTGAAATTCCTCTTTTGAGAGGGAGAGAGAGAATGAAGGAGGGAGGGAAGGAATAAGGTAGGAACAGGGACAGAGAGAGAGAGAGAGAGAGAACACAAACATGAATTATTAGTAGCTTCAAAAAATTGTTTTGAAGACACGCATGGTGGTGTACACATATAGGTAGGAGGATAACAGCCTGAGGCCAGCCCCCTCAGGAAAAAGCACAAGATTCTATCTGAAAAATAACTAAAGCAAAAAAGGGCTAGGCATGGCTTAAGTGGTATAGTACTTGCCCTGAGTTCAAAACCCCAGTACTACTGGGCACCAGTGGCTCATGCCTGTAATCCTAGCTACTTGAGAAGCAGCGATCAGGAGGACTGAGGTTTGAGGCCAGCCTGGGCAAATAGTTTGTGAGACCCTATCTGGGAAATACCCAATACAAAAAGGACTGGCAGAGTGGCTCAAGTGGTAGAGCACCTGCCTAGTAAACGTGAGGTCCTGAGTTCACACCCCAGTACTGCTAAAATAAAAAAACAAAACAAAACCAAACCTAGTACTGCCAAAAAATTGTTTTGAGATATAATTCATGTACCATAAAATTCCCCATTTTAAAGTGTCCAATGCAGTGATTTTTCATATATTCACAAGGTTGCTCAACCATCTATCACCATTCTAACCCCAGAATGCTAACATCACCCCTAAATGAGCCCCTTTACCTATCAGCAGGCCCATCATTCCCTATCGCCTTCATAACTTTGGGGTTTGGCCTATTTCTTCCTTCCAGATCTTGGTATCGATGGAATCATCCCACCTACCTCCACTGAGACCAAAAAGTTCCTCCTACTCCACCTGGCTTGTGTTCCCCGCTGGGAAGAAGGGAACCATGCCTTCTGTGTATGGACAGATTGCGTTCGGAGGAGTGGAAGAAGAGCCCACTCTTGCTTTCTCCAGGAGCCAGGGCCTCCAGAGAGCCAAACTGTGATTGAACCATGTGCTGACTCCTAATGCTGTTGAAATACCCCCCACCCCCACCCCTGGAGTTTCCCACGTTCATCTTCCTGGCCTGTGCCCTATCTTCTAGCTCTGAATGGTGGCTTAGTCTCTCAGAGAAAGGACTTCCTACTTCCTGCCATTATTCTCC